CATATCGCAATGGATTCCGTGCCAAAGACGCCTGTGATTTTGCAGTTAGACCAGCACGTCCAGGAGTCAAAGAATTTTCCTGCAACCTTAAATTTAATCAAGAAGACAGCCCGACAGAGTATTCAATTTATCTTTACCCGGGGTATTCACCGCGACAGGTGAAGTACACTATTGTACAGAAGTCGTAAAACACTCGCGTAATTCAACATTCCTGTTCCTGTAATGACATTAATTTGTGCCCAAGTCGTGTAAAATTATTTGTCCAGTCGTAAACCATTTTACCTCTCCTGTGTTTGTATATCATTGCTACCACAAACCAACAAAATTCGTTCTCCATTCGTTTCCCAGTCGTTTGACTATCAGTCGAAGCCTACATGTGATGAATCGCAAAACAGTTGCACCCCTATGGTATATCAGCATAATTGCTAAGAAGTGCGTTATATCTCGCTATAGTCACCCAGCACCAGAAGGTTATCGAAGTAACGCTAAACATTTCGGATTAACTGGTCATAATTGACTAATTGTTAAACTTGTTAAGCCTATTTAACGCTTTCTAGCAAACGAACGTTGACACGACCATTACAAATAGATATCTCGTTTCATTCAGTTTTGTTACTGTCAAGTGCACTCTACGGATTAACCAAGTGATTTAAGCACCAAACTCCATGCCTTCGTTTTTAAATGAGTGACAAATTGGAGGTGAAAAAATAGAATAAAATTTACGTTTTGCCTCTGATAGTGACCCGAACAATTATACTAAACTAATCATCTCCCGTAGGATAAGTGAATATCGTTAAACATTCGTGAAGTAAACCCACAGTAATCGAACGGGAGTCGCGTACGTAGCAATTGTATGATGGTTTAGGACTTAATTATGAGTCAATATGTCATTGAGGCTATTCTTATTTATTTTGTGTGTTATTCAATCAACAGACAAGTCGAAAGATTTTTGTTCAAAATTCTGAAAGTGGCACATCTTCCAACGGTTGTGAGGTTGCGGGTGCAGTTTCTATCACAATGCCATCAGAGGAGAACGAAATCAATGAAAGCCAAGAAACGATAACCTCAATGGGTTAGTGAC